ACTGTTAAAGCGAGGAAAGATTGGGTACAATCAAAGACTATACAATACGCGCGCGGGGTTTCAATTCCCTTTTCGCCTGTACTTCGTCTCTACCGCGACCCCGCTGTCCATCGGTTTCGTCTGTTCGGCAATTCTGGACTCTCGAGCCTCAGCACCGTCGAAGCGGTGGTCGCGGATCGCCGATGTCTTTGGAGCGGCACAGTGGGACCTTTGGCCGTCTCAGCTTGCTAATTATATGAGTTCAAAAAATATTTTCACACTGAAAAAATGTTAATCTTTGAGTGCTTATATCTCCTAAACTAAAACTATCTTGAAAATTCGATTGGAAAATTCTTTATTAGATGCGTACATTAAATTTATCTAAAGCACTCATACAATTTTTTTACTATTTCGGCTGAGTCCCCACTGTGCCGCGCCAAAGACATCAGCGACCACGCTGCCCTACGGCTTCGGCACGCAGACGATTCATATTTTGTTTTTGTATTCCATCTCTCGAGACACACCGACTCGACGCTGACCGAGGCATTGACGAAGCCGAGTAGTATTTCGGAGGCGAAGGTAGCGTAAAAGAGAATTGAAGTAATAGCCCCGCGCGCCCGTACCATGAAGCGTCAAACGAAAATTGAAAAAGAATTTGTTCCTCATGCAACATCTTGGTATTGTATAGTTTTTGGTACAATGCTTTGCGTAACCAGAGATGCCAAAGTGGAAACTGAAAAATATGTACCAATCCTAAATTTAGCTAAGCCAAATGACCAGATGTTAAATGCATGGTGCATAGACAGTGGCGCAACGGCGCATCTACAGTGGCGAGCACATGTGGATATATTTTTATCACTTTTCACTTTAAGCGCCTGTAAAAGCTTTAAAAATTAATCAATCCTTGTGAAAAGACCTAGCTGATATATCTGATATCAAGACAAGGATTGCAGCAGAGTTTGATGTGGTTGACATCGGGCCTATGCAATACTTTTTAGGTATTGAGGCAGTACTGGTGCGATTTCAATCAGCCAACGAAAGTACATTAGAGAGTTACTCGAACAGTCCAGTACAGTATGAAAGATTGTCGACAGACGTCCACGCCGCTGGAAGCTGGTTACCAGGTGGCATGCAACAAAGAGGACTGCCGCAAGGTCGACATCACATCGTTCCAGAAGCTAATTGGAGAGTTATCATATCTTGCAGTTATGACTCGTCCGGACATTGCATTCGGTGAATAAATTTGCTCAACGTAAGAAGGATCAGCATTCCGAGCATGAAGCGGCATCCAAGCACATCATTCGATATTTGGCAAAGACTATCGATTGGGAGATATGCTACACAAAGCAAAGAAAGGCAATTGAGGGTTTTGTTGATGCAGATTGGGCTAGTGATTTTACAAACCGGAAGTCATGCATGTTGGCAGGGGGAGCAGTTTCTTGGGAGTCAAGAAAGCAATCGACGGTTGTGCTCAGTTCCAAAGAGGCAGAGTACATAGCCTTATCATCTGCAGCAAAAGAGGCGATATACTTTCGCAGCCTACTCATTGACTTGAAGCTGATATTCCAGGAGTCAACTATTCAGATCTACGGCGACAACATTGTAGCACAGCAGCTTGCTAGAAACCCCATGTTTCATGCACGTACAAAACACATCGACGTTAAGGTACATCATATTCGAGAAGTTCTCAAAATCATCTCTTTTGACAGTCGACATTGCGCATCTACCTCACAAAGAACTTAGTCAAAGTTAAGCACCATAAATTTGTATTCGCATTCGGTTTAAGACATCATTTATAAGTTGCTTGATATGTTTTCGAATATTAGTTAAGTAGTGTTTAAAGTTCGTAAACATGCGTTGTGTTGAGGAGGAGTTTTCAAACTGACTGCCACGATAATTAGTTATCGATCCCTTTCAACACTGCGGATGTGCCCTGCTGCATATCTAAGTTTCTTCTTTCGGCTCAGTCTCTTGCGCACATTACTCGAAAGCGAATTTGTATAATTCTGTAAACTGATCTTTAGTTGCATTACCAAGTAAAATAACTTTAACAGTTGTTATATTTTTCGTTTTTTTATTGGCGATTCGATGGCGATTTTCCTTGTCTTCGCAACACTATACAATTTTAAACAGTGTTAAAATGTTTTCAAAAACTTGTTCGTTCAACTTGAACTAAAAACGCTTTTACATGCAACCTGTTGCGCAATTTAGTCTCAAATATATTCATTTGAGTGAACACTCGTTCCACATCAGCATTTGGCCATGGGAGCGAGAGCATTTGAATAGCAAAAAGATCAAGTGATGTAACGCTTGGATCAGCCGAGAGATCTGGATCGCAGCGCAATCTAGTGGTCGGCACCGTAATGGCCGTGGCAGAGCAAACACCATCTATGGGCTAAGTCTGGGAGGTCACGACAAGGGGCATAGCAAAAGGGTGATAGAGTTAACAGCATGGATCGTCAACTTTCTCTGGCATTTCAACCTGTTCTTTGAGGGGGCCCGAGGGTTCTAGCTTGATGAGGTGCTTGGCTTCGGTCTCTTCCAGTTTTGGCGCTCGACCCGAGTATTCGTCTTCTCCATCAGCGGAAAAATATTGTTTTTTGTGCGTCAAAAAGAGCAATCGCGACGGGAGGAGAAAAGCTGGAGTCACTCCGGCATTAGTTGTCCCATGCTAGGTGAGATTGAGAAGGGAAAAGAATAATTTGGCAAATTAGTCTGACAGTTTCATCCGTATAAGACCGGCCATTGGCATACTGCCCAAAGAGGAACGCCGCGTCGCCGTATTTGCGTCTCAAAACCGGCGTGGATCGGCTTCGCAGATCCAAAGACGCCGAGGCGTCGAGGAGATCGAGCGTCCGAGTGACGCCAAAAGGGGTCCAGAGGAGAAGCAGAAGCGGCATAAAATGTTTACAGGCCCAAGTACACGGGCACCAAAACTAACGGGAGTTGAGTGCTTTTTGGGGGAAAAGAAAGCTCAATCATCCAGTTCGAGAGCAAGCCAAGGAAGGGCTATATAGCGTAGCTAGAGCGCATCGTCGGAAACAGCAAAATGCGGGCGAAAACAAGAAAAAACGAGGGGGAACGTTGTGAGTTGCTGCGGACACCGCAACTCTACAGTTATACCCGATACTAAGTCAGTATGGCTCTCTTGCGGCAGACGCCGCTAATATTAAACGACACGACAAAGAGTGCGTGCGAGAGAGACAGAAAATCAGTCTGAGCGTGACGTCGGGCGCTGCGTAGCCAGTTTTTGATTTGTTTCTATTGGCTATAAAGATGATCCGATCTGATCCAGACTCAGCAATCTGATAGATATGGTCAGATATAGATATGACAGATAGATATGATATATATATGATACGATATAGATATGATAGATATGATTCTGCGTTTTTAGTTTTCTCGAATCTGCAATATTGTGGATGCAACAGATTTTCGTCCTTTGTGTGGGCGGAACGGGGTGAGGCGAAATTTTGAGATATACGTTTTATAGTGAGATCTAACAGGAGTGCGGATACTAAATTTGGTTACTCTAGCGTTAATAGTCTCTGAGATTTACGGATGCCCCAGATTTTCGTCCTTTGCGGGGGCGGAAGGGGGTGAGTCGAAATTTTGATACAAAACGGTCAAGGGCCGATATCACAGGAGTGTGGATACCAAATTTGGTTGCTCTAGCTCTTATGGGTTCTGAGATCCTTGAACTCAAATTTTGCAATTGGCAAAACCGACCATGAAACCTGTGCGTTAGAGAGAGACACAGCGAGAAAGAATGAAATTGTTTTCTTGATTCTGGCTATAATAATTTTACGATCTGGTTCAGATTTCACACTCTGGAACATACAGTCGTCCTCTACGGTTCTGCGTGTTCAGTTTTCCCGTATCTTTGAATTTGTGGGTGCCACAGATTTTCGCCCTTTGTGAGGCGGAAGTGGGCGGGGTGAAGTTTTGAAATATTTTTGTAGCAGTGACATATCACAGAAGTCTGGATCCAAAACATCGTTGCTCTAGCTCTTATGGTCTTTGAGCACTAGGCGCTGAATTGGACGGACAGACGGACAGACAGACAGACGGACGGACGGACAGACAGACTGGGCTCAATCGAGTCGGCTATTGATGCTGATCAAGAATATATATACTTTATGGGGTCGGAAACGATGCCTTCTGGAAGTTACACACATCCACTTTTACCACAAATCTAATATACCCCAATACTCATTTTGAGTATCGGGTATAAAAAGAGGGCCGAGAAAGTGGTTTTTATACTCGAGCGGAGTGAGTCTTGAAAAACAAAAGTGGAGAGATAATAGAGTGGAATTTGTGAGTGAGTTTTTTGTTTGCTTTTGTGTTACTCCCGATCGGAGTTCTCTTTCCAGGTCCGAGTCTCCTCCGGGGAGCGCTTTCGTCGGTGGACATGCGTATCTGCGGATGAGTGAAAAAGAAAATGCAAAAAAACTTAACCTAGACATTTCGACTCAAGTCCCACTAAGGACAGCAAAGAGGAGGGAGAGTCAAGTAATTTGTATAATTCCCCCCATTGTTTCTGTTTCTTCACCCCCTTTCGGTCTGGCCGTTAATTGCCTTTACATATGAAATAATTGTTCGTTTTATTTATCGTTATTAGTAAGTCATTTTATTGATATTTTGAAATTCATTCTGTTTTATTTTTTTATGCGTACGTTTTTTTTTTTTGGTTAGGTTTAGTTTTAATTTGGAAATTACTCAGTTTCTTTGGTCATGATTCAATAAATTTTATAAAGTTTTCGACTACAGTTTTTTTTTGCTTTCGGCTAGCCAAATGCCGTTTTCCCACTCCCCAACACCCAGCCTGGTTCGTTATAGTGATTCAAATAGGTTGCTTCTTCCCCCATCTTTGTGGGCCAGCAAAACTGCCCAAAACATAATAGTATTATGGGTATTTTCCCATTTTTATAAATATATGTTATCGTACAATGACTTTATACGATCAATGTCGGTGCTATATTCACAAATATTCACAATATCGTTGGTGTTTTGTGCCGCAGCACTTGGCCCACGGAAAGTACATTGAGTTTCTTAAGAACTAATATTTATATATGTATAGTCTACGGGGTAGCAAAAAACAAAAAAAAGTTTCAGTTTACATTTAAAGCTAAAATAAACTAATTTTTTTTTTTTAATATGCTAAACATTTTATTGCTAGTACACTTTTAAAAATGCTAGATCTAGCCTGGAATAGGCTAAACTGGCAGCACTGCTCACAACGTTTTTCGTCACAGCGTATGTTCTTTGAATATTTGTTTATCTTAGTTTTACAGCGCATCCTGCGATTTCGAGCCGTTCGGCTTCTAGATCGATTTTAGTAAAGCAACATCGCACAGTCAAACGGTCAAAATATTATTTTATATGGAATTTCATTCTTGCGACATCCCTTTTTGCTCTTTTTCGTGCGAGGTTACCAGTTTTTGTAAAATCAAGTCAATGTTGAAAAACAACGAAAAAATTAAATGGTTTGGAAAATAGTTTTTCTTTAGAACTGTCTATGCAACAGCCCAGGCTTTTGTTGAGCATTAACAATACTTAATTCTCTTAATAAAGGCTTGAAGTCTCTCAATCAGATATATTCATATTATCCAAAGCTCACAAAAATCGTTTGACTTTTGTCACCTCTTTTCGGCTAAAGCCCCACTGTGCGAGCTAAGGAAATGCAGCTAAAGCTAGGTACACACGATGCAAACAATTTGCAGCAAAAAAAAAATTTGCAATAACTGTTTGCGGCAACTATTTTTGCTTTTCGTCTGTATACAGAACTTTACGGTTAACTTGGTTGAGTCAGTTGCTTGCTTGTTTGCATGTGCTGTTTGCTTTCAGTCGCAATATTGCAGCAAGCAAAGCAACATGTGGGATCGCGAGAAAACGATAAAATTAATTGATTTGTACGAGAATTATTCTGTTTTATGGGATGCCAGCAAACTATAAAAATAAGCATAAAAAGCAAAATGCTTATCGCGAAATTGCAGAAAAATTAGACAAAAGTGATGATGAAATAAAAACAAAAATTCATCATTTGCGCACTCAATTTTTGCATGTGCGCAGAGTGAAGCAAAAAAAAGAGTGGCCAGGGTACATCGGACAACTACTTATACCAGCAGTGTCTTGTTTAGTTATGTAGTTTTTTACTTTTCTAATAAAAAACTGAAATCACTGACTGACATGCGAAAAAAATTGTAATAGTTTGTTTCATCCCCATTTTGTAGCTCTTTTAAAAGGTTCTGATGCACTCCTTTTTCATCTCTTTTGGAAATCCACTCTTTCACCCAACACTTTCTTTTTTTTTGCAGACTCTAAACTTCTCACTTTTTTACGTTTTATTGAAGTTGCTAATATAGCAATAGCAGCATCTCTCGATTTTTGTGCCGACATAATTAAACACGTCGTTATTCGTTGACTTTCTCAAAACAACAGAACTTGCAAATGAGTGTCACTTTCAAGCACTGCAAACAAAAAATGAAAACACATGTAGACATTAACGCAATATATTGCACGAAATAGCAATGCAAAAGTTTGCGTGCAAAACAAAAATTGATTGAAGCAAGAAATTTGCATGCAATATTTGCATTGGTGTGAACATTTGTGCAACTTTTGCTGCAAATTATTTTCAACTTGCTGCAAATTGTTTGCATCGTGTGTACCTAGCTTAAGTGCGTCTAAAGGCAGTATTGGGCACGTTCGCCACCAGCCACCAGGGATCACGCTCCAGATGCACTGGTCCTAGAGGCTGTCCAATGTTGCCGGTATTGCAAGGTAGAATGATCCTGCCGATAAGTATGAACTTCTCCATCACCTATGCTTTTATGTTTATGCTCCTGAAGACCTCAAAGCTTAAGGCCGATGCATCCTTTTGTCTCCTTGCTGCCCAGCAAAAACTAAAAGAAGACGTTAAACGACGCAACGCAGCAGTGCAGATATAATAAAGAAAATAATTCAATCGGATTATATTCGTATCAGCATTTTAACTGGGAACAAATTGGCTTCTGCAAGCTTTTCTCTATGCTCTGTATATATATATATATACTACATACTACATACTACATATTCGTTCCATTCGTTCTCATTTTCGTCGATCGTAGGGACGAACATTAGTACTCGCTCCCCATAGAATAAAGCGCAATATCCCAATTATTAGTTTTGATTGTCTTTGCATAACAAGGTATCATAAAACATTGGCACTTCTGAACAACCTTATTAAACAACAAAAAACAATTTTGAATCAAAACTTAAATTTAGTCACAAAATTTACTCAGTTCTAACTGACTGAAGTTGGTCAATCATGATGATTCTTCTTCTTTAACGCCAATCGGCCCGAGTGTAGACTTGGACATAAGATAAACAACGTCCCTCGCAAGACTCCAGAGCTCAAAGTGGGCCACCGTGATAATGGTGGCCAGAGATCCCAGCTTAAATAGTTTGATCTGATTTTCGCGCCACTCTCGTCGAGCGAACCCTGAGTTGAAGGCAAACCATTGACTGCAGATCGAACAAAAGAAACCCGAAAGCCCTAAAATACGGTGCGACCAGTGCAGAAAAACATTTCTGATCCCGAGCAAGGCCAGACCCGAAAAGAGACAGCCTAAGGTTAGGAGCAGACCCATCAGGCCGCAGAGTCCATGCTTGGTCAGACAGTGTTTAATACTGATGCACGACGTGTGTCCATGCCGTCGCTTCAGCTCGGACCACTGCCGCAACTTGGGTAGCACCCCAATGCATCCGCTCCAGAACCCCAGCAGGCCCAAAGTACTGTGCATCAATTCCAGACTGGGCATCCCGATCATCCGAACCAGCCACCAGCTGTGTCTGAACAGCAGCGCCTCGCCAACGGCTAGAAATAATCCGAGGACGCAGTAAAATGCGTGCTCCGCTGTTCGGACTAGACCCCGTACGAGGCATTTCGTGGCTATGGCTACACCAATAGCAATAAGGAGAGTTTGAGCCACAATCTCTACAATAATGCTATATAACTCCCCGTCGAATATGGCGGCCATAAAGTCCCAGGTAAACTCATCGAGAATGATGTTGCCTAGGGTTGTATTTTCCATGAGGGAGGCCTCTTCCTGTCTCTCGGTCATATTGGATATCTGACTTTCGGACGATAATATGAGATTTTTGATTGATATTTCAAAGATTAGTAAAAGATTAAAGATTAAGTTCGTGTAAATGTATGTAAAAGCCTGAAGGACGCGTTTTCGACCACATACAATAAATATATTCTTGATCAGTATTAATAACCGCCAACAAATTTCAACTTTTAACCATCTAGACATTACCATGTACTCGTGCATACTAAATTTTGAAACATTTGCCTTTTATTTGATGGAAATATATATTTATGTATATTCGTTCAGAAGTTATTAATTTAGCGAGCTGAAATGGCTGAAGGCCCCACTGTGGGCCGTAGTTGTTTTAAGGCTTCATAAAGCTTCAATCCATAAATTTTAAATTGTAAATTGTGCGCAAAGGAGTAAGAAGCGAAATGTAGTGCCGTGTTTTAGTGAAAAACATCTAAATTATCCATTATTATCAGTTAGGTGCAGTGCTTAAATAAAAAAATGTGTTGCACGCGTCTTAGATAATAATAATATATCAATTGTATGCGATCCATCCACATTGACAAGCGTATGGCTTTCAAAATCTCTAGCACTTTTACTTTCCGATCGGCCAACCCCATATCGTGTATTTTTTTAATTTTTTCGGGTGTAGAGACCTTAACTGGGTGTCCAGGACGTTCGGCATCGTTTTTGCTGTTTGTGCTTGTACGGTCACAACGGAATTCAGGAATTCACAATTCACCACCAAGCATTGATGTTCATGGTGCTGATTTCCTATAGTATTTATCAAGCTTAGTCTTGGTTGCAGTGGTTTTCGCAAAAAATACGAAATTCACTTTTTTCCATTTTACCTTTAAATGACGAGGAAGTCTGCTATCAATGGCTGTAAGCACAACAAAAAAATAAAAAATAAAATGACGCAGCCTGTTGATGAAAGCAGTGCGGCTCTATCAGATAAAAGGCGGGAAGTTATAAAAATCAAATGACCTTTTTAACAGTCTTATTAGAATTGTCTTGATTTGGGAAATTCCGAATTTTTTCCTCTAAGATCCTGTGGATTTTTCCTTACCTGTGCATTTTCTACTGAAGGTATTTTAGCTTACAATTTTGGACAGTTTGGCAGAAATATAATTTGCACTTATACGTCTTAAACTGCTGCGACAGTATCATATAGAGCTGTAGTTCCATTTTCGCTAGTGGCAGTCACCATCACCCTGTATCAATAGAAGTGAAATCTCGTGAAAGTAAAGAGTAGCCCAGATTCTTTTTTGCCAAAAACAGACTTCTTAAAAGACTGGAATGTACTATGATAACAGGAGATATAGCCAATATTACTGATAGCATCTAACACAATTTAAGGGTCTCCACCTATGCCTTGAGCAACAATAGATGCCCTAAGGTTTGGTGGAATCCAGGCCTAGTAATTTTAGTCAAAATATTTAGAGGTTCGAATTCTGGCACAAACTGCTCCCAGTATCTTTCTATATCGAAGCATATTTATATATTTCTGAAAACAGAATGGAAAAAGGCGGTTAAGCTCGGAATAGATAAAATCACATACGACATGGTAAGGGGCACTCAGTAGACCAGAGCAGTATAATCTGATAAAAGAATGTAACAGATTGTTAACACAATGTAAAATCCTCAGTTCATATTTTGACCATTTCAAAATCATTCCCAATCACTTTTGATTTTTGATCTGATGATTAAAAATCGTATCGAATGGTTCCCAAAAGACTACAATACTATGCCCAGCAGGTTTTACATATGCCTATCAAGCAGGCAGAACAGCAGCTACATATGTGTATAAATGATCTCATCCATACCATGGCCTATGAAAAAAACTAGGGAAAGCTGTTTTAGTTGTCGTAATAGACACAGAAATTAAAAATATAAAGTAAAAACGAGGGGGAACGTTGTGAGTTGCTGCGGAGACCGTAACTCTACATTTATACCCGATACTTAGTCAGTATGGCTCTCCT